GTAGCACAGGCCTCTCTGGTGCTTCAGCACTCCACAGGTCCCAAGGGTAACTAAATTGCGTAGTCCCTGCTGGGTCACACAGGCCTCTCTGGTGCCCCCACACCCTGCAGGTCCCAAGGGCAGCAGTTGGATTGCACCAGTCTCTCTCGGGCTCTGGCTTCCCATTGCTCTTGTGAACTGCTGGACTGCACAGGCCTCTGTAGAGCCCCAGGTCCCACGGCTGGGTGCTGGGGAGTGCTGCTGCCCAGACACATTGAAGGGTTTTAAATAGAAAAAGATAACATGCTCTGGATTGCAATATAGAAAAGCCATGTTTATTTATTTACTTTTATTTTTTTGTCAATCCTCACCTGAGAATATTTTTTCATTGTTTTTGTTTTGTTTTGTTTTGTTTTTTAGATAGAGTGGAAGGGAGGGAGAGAGAAAGAGAGAGCAAGAGTGAGCAAGCAAGAGAGAACTAGAAAGAGAGAAATATTGATGTGAGAGAGACACATAGATTGGTTGCTTCCCACATAACCATGACCAGGGCTGGGGATCAAATGTGCAACCCAAGAATGTGTGCTTGACCAGGAATTGAACCGGTGACCCTTTGGTCCACGGGCCGATGCTCTAACCACTGAGCAAAACTAGCCAGGGTAGAAAAGCCATTTTTAGAAGTGAGAAGTAAAAAGGAAGCTGGGAGATAAGCTAGGAGGCATTTGCAGTAGATCAAGGAGGAGTTGCAAGGGCTTCATTGGGAATCCAAGATTCTTAGTAGAGGCAAAGTTAGTGAGATAAGGACCCATAAGCCAAAAATACTCAGGATTATACTGAGCGGGCCTCTCCCCAACTAAAGTTGATACAGAGTCAGAGAAGAGTCTCAGAGAAGACAACAGGATCTATGCCAAGTCATGAATGCTCCTCCTGAACCCCCATGCAGCTCCATCAGCTGGTTTATTCTTATCTGTTTTGGGGTACATACCCAGAGAGCATGGGAGACTGACAGCCCCTGGCCCTTCAGAACAATTGTCTAGCTTTTATTCCAAATAAATGAATAAGCAAATATGTAATCATCAACACATTTCCCTTTCTACTACAGTTTGATAGGATTAAAACCCAGGTATGAGGAAAATGAGATTTCCTCTAATGACTCGGAACAACAGAAGAAATTCATCTCATTGCCCACATTAATGGTCCAAGAGCCTCAGAGCTTGGGCTGCATTTAAGAAGCTGGAGGAAGACTCTAAGGAGAATAATTGAATTCCTGAGTCAAGAAGACAGTATGATTATTTTTTGGATGACTAGAAGAACAAAACTTTGTGGGTTTTAGACAAATAGAAGAGAAAAAGAGCACATTTGAGATGCCAGACTTGTCAAGTAGAGCCCTAAGGCCTTGAGATTCTCTGAAAGGACAAACATCTTGGAATGTTTACATCTCAGGCTTCTGAGGGTGAGTTAGATTTGCTTTGGAGTCTGGTACCTCCAGTCTTTAAACATTACTGCCCAACCTCACACTAATGGGATGGGAAGACCCTCCAGGGCGCATGACATTCAGGGGCTCCAAACTGTATTTAGTCCATTTCCACATTAAAGAGAAAGAAACTGGATTCCTGACAATAACAATGGTGACTAATATTCCCTGAGAGCCTATGTGCACCAAGCATTGTTTTATAATGACTTTATGTACATCACTTACTTCTCGGAACCATCCTAATAAGGTGGGTGCTGTTACCATCAAACCCATTTTTGAGATGAGGACATTTTGAGATGAGGACATTGGGTGGACCTGGCCGACTTTAAACATCAAGCTCAGAGTCATGTAACTAGCTGCAGCAGATTTAGAATCCAAAGCCTGGTGGTTTGACTCCAGAATTCACCTCTAACCACACTTAGCCTACCGACACTGCTAGATGAAGTTGTCACTTATTAAAATTTATTCTGTTGCCCTTGATTGTACATGGAAGCAAATATTCCCTTAAAGGGTGAAGAGGATAATCCAGAAATGAAAAGAATAAAAGGAATCTAACTCAGAACCACTGTCCTTGTACTTATATAAAATATGAAATAAAATACTCATGTCTCTAAAATGATTGATAGCAAAATGGCCTACAGAATTTGTGAGTGACTTTCTGTGAAATCCAGTTTGGAAAACCCATATGTGATCAAGGCTTCCTCCCCCAGACAAAACTGAATCAATATCAATTAGATTGTTGACTGAATATCAACTTGAATTGTTGAAGAAACTGTTCTGGTCTCTAAACTTGTTCTTCTAGGTACTTAATAAATTATTAATGAATGAATAAACAAATAAGTCTACCTGTGTGTCCTCATTTCTTCCTTAGTCTTACTATTTCCCTTTTTTTTAATTTGCTGCCCATTTCCTCAAGAGAAATGGAGTTCATTCATAGTCCCAGCTCTAGCCAAGATTTTATAACTATTCTCTGTGCCCTGATGTGCAATGCAGACTTGCAAACTTGTCTGGTCTTCAGGGTTCTCTGTTAATTCCAGGTCTTTCCCTAAACCTTCCCTAACCAAAAAAACATTTTCCTTAAAATGCTCTGCCTTACTCTTATTATTGATATGCAAATTCTCAGAACCAGAAGGGAATTTGGGGATCAAATCCAACCTTCCACCCAGAGCTAGAAAATTCTTCAGAACATAACTGACCCACCATCAACCAAGACTTGCTTTGAAAATGATCCTTCATTTGCTACTTAAAGTTATAAGAAATTTACTTCTGATTATGAAGTTCCCTTAATAATTAATTAATTAATTAATTAATTCACTCATCTTTGTTTTTGCTTATCAGATATAGTATCTGCCTGTTATGTGCCAGAAAATGTATAAGATTCTGGAGAATATGAAGATGAATAAACCTTAGTCCCTAGTTACTGATCTTTGGAATCTAATAGACTGAGTCTACTGAAGAACAGATATGTGAGCAATATTACCATGATTCTGCAAGAAATACCATCAGTGTGTGTATCAAATGCAATGCTGAAACAGAAAAGCAAATAATGAATGATTCCTCTATAGAATGAATTTCACTCTTTATAATTTTGGTGTACATTTCTTCCAGAAATCATCGTGTCTTCTAGTTTTTGCTTTTTCCTCTTCTCATGAATTTGTAAGTACCCAAGTTTGAGCAGAGAGTGGCTGTCTATTCAGTGATACAAAGGCTTACAAAGTAGAGCATATTTCCCTACACTCTGCCTTCCGAGGGCCCCAGGGCCATTAAGAGAAACAACACTTGACACTTAACATAGATTTTATATGTACAAGAGACTCTTCTAAGAACTTCATCAGTATTAATTCATTAAATACAACAATCCTATAAGGTAGATATTTTTATCTTTCTTTTTTTTCTTATAGTTAAAGCAAACTGAGACATAAAGAAAGATTGGCCACTTACCCAAAGCTGCCCAGCTAACTGGTGATAAAGTCAGAATTTGAACCCAGGGCATATGGCTCGAGGGTTTCTGCTCTTAATCACTCAAAAGAGTAAGATTTGAAATAGTCAGCTATCTGTACAGACAGCCATGTAAAGCCTACACAGATACTTGGGTAGTGAGGGTGGGAGATTGGAGTTGGAACATGGATGATGAGGGACATGGCTCAAGGATTTCTCATGTAAGCCTTTCCTAAACAGAAGCCTCAAATCTCTGGCAGCCAATTTCTTTCTGAGAGGATGGCAGGCATAGATAGAATAGCAACTGAAATACAAGTAAGCATCGCTGTAAATATCTGCTTGAAGAGGGATTAGAGGTAACTCTTAGCTAAAGGTGAAAAGCATAAGGGAGTTATGTGTTTACATAAACTGGGTCTTGATATTTTCTGAGCCTGTTGTTTCTGAAACAGACACAATGAATGTTTCTTTGGTGAGTTTATTTAGAAAACAAAGCTCGGGCTTTGCCTGGAAGTTTACATGCCGAGAGCAAGAACAGAACTTTTGAGTCAGCTAATGTAGACCCTGTCTTTTTCTCTACCCTTAACAAGTATACACACATTTTTACAACACAGAAGAGGATAAATATCCATTAGAAATACAAGTGAAGTACCTGATGCCTTGAGAGGCATTGGTGGACCTCTATTAAAGTGATTAACCAAAGGAGGCAGGGGTCATTATGAAAATGCAATGATATTAAGCATTGAGCAATTCTGTTGGATCTGATTGAAGTTTCTCCAACACTCTAGTTGAGTAAATGTTTAGATGATATGTCTGACCTCTTGGTCCTATGTTTTTAATTCATTAGTTCCAAGTCTTGAAAAGAAGCTTCTCAAATATCCACCTCAATAAAAGATCAGAATTATTTACAAGTAGCCAAGAGTTTGAAGGCAGCTGGTCTAAGTTGGGCCACTTCTCATAATGGAAAACTCATGGCTTCTGAATCACATGTAAAACAACCATGTTTTACCAGCCTGTGCTACATTCACTTCTGTTTTAAAGCCTTATTCAAGAACAACCAGTAACTAGAGAGACTCAGTAACTAGAAATCTACTTCTCACCCCCTATATAAAACATCCTCAAGTTTCTAGAGAAAAACTAACATCTTACCTAGCCCTACCTGATCAGAGTAGGGGACTCTCCTATAGTCTCCATGTCAAAGAGGTGTACACCTTTGCCCCAAGTGTCATAGGACTAGTTTACTTTTCCTTAATGGACACTCTATCCTTAACTTTCAGACTTCACGATTTACCTTTCAGCTTTATCAATGATAGAAGCCATGGGAAGAAACCTGAGATACCAAACTTCTCACTTCAAGATGAGTGGAAGCCCAAGGAGAAGAGGGTATCATCTTAGTATCAACTTGGTGATAAGATTTGCTTCTGGTCCTCATTCTAGGGTTCTTTCTGCTCCATATTCCTCAACTTTTACATGGTACTGAGGTAACATTGTGTAACCAGGAAGCCCAGGAAGGTGCAGTGGCTGCCCCAGTCATTTCCCAAACACCCACCTCACTCTTCTCCCAGACCCAGTGTCTGAACCTACACCCAGTAGAAGAAAGATCATGAGCTCTTACTCATTTCCATGTACTCTGGAGTCAGTCCAGTGTATGGTTCCAAGCTGTAGTCTAGTTCCCACTGCTCTGGGTGCTTTGAATGGGCAGAGTCAGTTTCTCCAGGTTCTGTCTCATCTTTCAGCTTCCGAAATAGTTTCTTTAGCTTCCTGGAAAAGAAATGGACCAGTCACCAAAGTCTCTGGAGGACAGAGTTAGTTCTGTAGACAGAAAGAAGAAACAAACTGAGTGTTAACACTAAAGTCATCTCTGATCCAAGGATAGATAGAGGGATATGAAGGAGACTGCTTTTCTCTTAAAGACAACCTGGGGAGGTCTTTTATCAGGGTAAAGAAAGGCTCCTCCGACAAAGGATCAGGAAAGAAACTAAAGTCTTCCTGCTTTTTAATATGCAACAAGAGGCTTGGCCCTTCTTGCCAAATACTGAGATAGTCTTATCACCTAATAGGTAATCTATCTGCTCCCTTCATGGGGAAGAAAGGGTGTCCAGAAAATAGTAGAAAGATGCTCTCCTCCAAACTCAAACATTTTTCAGGATCATATTAACATTAAAGCAAGCTAAACACAGTCTATCACTACTATGGGTTGAAATCAATCCCCTCCCCACCAATTTATATGTCAAAGTTCTAACCCCTAATGTGACTGTATTTAGAGACAGGGCCTCCAGAAGGTATTTAAGGTTAAATGAGATAATAAAAGTAGGGTTCTAATCCAATAGGATGGGTAGCCTTATGAGATAAGGAAGAGACACTGATCTCTCTGTCTCTACCATTTGAGGACACAGTGAGGAGGTGGTCATATGCAAGCTAGGAAGAAGGCCCTCACTAGAAACAAAAATCTGCTAGTACTTAATCTTGAACTTTCCAGCCTCCAGCAATCTGAGAAAATAAGTGTCTATTGTTTAAGCTACACAATCTGCAGTATTTTGTTATGGCAGCTCAAGCAGACTGAGTCAATCCCATGTAGGACTTTTTTGGTCTAGAATGATAACAAGACAATAATGGCCCAGCCTCCAGGGTTGATATGAGGGTTAATTGAAAGAATGTTTATACAATTTTTAGCACAATATTGGGACATGGTAATCATTCAGTAGATGGTAGCTATTATTATTATTTTAATATTAAATGTTAAAATATACCTGAGGGTATAGTCTTTTCATATTTCCCATTGATACACAATATATAGAGAAGGAAATTAGGTGAAGGAGTAGGCTGCCAATTCTGCTAACCATTCTATGAGAAATTTTCTAGGAGATAGTTGTGAGGAGAACAGCAGAACACACAGAGTCACAGACTTGAAGAATTTAAAGGGATTTTGAAGTCCATGTTCCATCTAAATGTAGGAAACCACCTCCTCCTTCCACATTCCTCACACAAGATCATCCAACCCCTATATAGCTATTTCCAGACTACACTCCTGTCAACATTAGGCATCTCTTTCTATTATTAGAAAGTGCTTCCAACAGTTCATGGAAATCTAATCATTCAAAATTATGTTCTAATCAATGTCTGCTAATATCATTTGCCATCAAGAAGATGTAGTATATTGTAGTGGGTAAAGGTCGATCTTTGAGGTCAGAAAATAGTTGTTTAAAACCCAGTGTCATAATTCACCACCCATAGTTTCTTGGGCCAGTTATTAAAACTCCATAAGCTTTAGTTTCTTATCAATGAGAAAATGTTAACTAGCACACAGGATTAGTTAAAGGAGATCATTTATATAATATGCTTCACTTAGAGCTTGGTACATGCTAAGAGCTCACTAAATATATTTATCATTATTCCTATTATTATCAGCAGCAGCACCGTCATCATCATCCAAGGAGGAGTTAAAGAATGGGTTGAGATCCACAGAAGCAGCAGTAAAATAAAATATTTCATAATAAATTATCAAGCAATAATTCTGTGATAATAAGAAATTGAGAAAAATCCATATGTAGCCTGAAGATTCTGGAGCCAAATAGTGTGGACCAGATGAGACCCTATCTGTGACTCAGGAAAAAGAGGATAAAGAAAAAAAACATGAAAAGATAGAGAAAGAAGGAAATAATGGAGGGAGGAAGAGAAGGTGGAATGGGAGGTCTAGAATCAGAACTCAAATTGAGACTTTTCCTCCAGGTACCAGTATCAGAAAACTTGGCTAAATCTTTAGTAAAAAATAACTAGTGGTTTTAATTAGACATGAAAAACTGAATGCATGCATATATCCATATCTATTGAAATGCTATCAAAAAATGACAGTTAATAATTTAAAATGTATAAAACCACAAGGTTAAAGAAAATAGTAAGGAGTACAGTAGTGTATGAGAGAGGTAATGAATATCTTGGAAGACAAACATGGATGAAGGAGTTAGCGAAGCAGTTGTGGTTGAATACCAAGTGTCCATAGTGAAAGACAGCACAGAAAAGCAAGGCAACTCATGCTGAAAAATCTCAGAAAAGCTCAGGAATTGCAGGCACCAGGGATCACGAAGGCAGCCGGTAGTGACTGGCCAATGCACTGTTTAAGGAGCAGTAGGCCCTAATGTGTCTGTCTGCCCATGTTTCCCAAGTGACTACCACTTTTTAATACCAGCAGAAATAAAAAATTTATTTGGAGGAGAAAATGAACCAAGAAAACTCTAGATCTTATATAAACCCAATACAATGATAGAAATTTAAAAAGCAATGAACTCTTGAAGAAAAAAGTACAAAAGACAAATAAATGGACAATAGAAAAGATATGAAAATTGATCAGTCTAGGAACTCTAACATTTAATCAGAAAGACCTAGAAAATGATGGGGAAGAAAATACAAAAGAAATATTTAAAAATGTTCCAGAGGTGAGAAATATGCATTTTCCGATTGGAAGGATCTACTCAGTGTAATGGTTTTTTTAAAAAGGACCTCCAGCCCTGGCTGGTTTGGCTCAGTGGTAGAATGTCGGCCTGCGGACCAATGAATCACAGGTTCGATTCTGGCCAAGGGCATATACCTCAAGTCTAGTTCATCCCTATCCCTGGTTGCGGTTGTGCAGGAGGCAACCAGTCGGCAACCAGTCGATGTGTCCCTCTCATGTTGATGTTTCTCTCTCTCTTTCCCTTTCTCTCCCTCCCACTCTATCTGAAAATAAATAGAAAAATATCCTTGGATAAGGATTAAAAAAAAAAAAAGGACCTCCACAAAAGCACATCACTATGAGATTTCAGTACTCTAAAAATAATGAAAAGGATTCTAAAAGTTTCCTGATCCAGAGGGACAAACATAGATTTTCTAAAAATTATTTTGAACCAAAATGATATTAGAATTTTCAACATCAGCCCTCAACACTAGAAAATTCTAGGGAATATATTAATATTAAGGAGGTAAATGATTTTAGCAAAGAATTCTATACCCAGCTAAAGTATACATCAGGGCAAAGGCAAAATAAAGACATTTTCACACATGCAAGTTTTCCTAGAAGATACCCTTCTTTGCATCATTCTCATGATATTCCAGGAGGATGAATTTCACCAACCATAGATATAAAACAAGAAAAAAAAAAAATATCCAGCAAACAAATAATCCATCAGAAAAAAAAACAGGTGCTGAGTCAAACTCAGATTGATAGCTGATAGAAGGCTTAGCAAACAAACAATTCCAGTTTAAACAGAAGAATGGAGAGAGAACAAGAAAAAATAAATGCGACCTATAAGACATCTGTTGTATTTAATGAGGTGGTCTAGCTGGGGAAGTGACCACAAAAAAAGTGTTACCAGCAATGTGCAGTGAGTATTATGAAGGAAGAGGTTTCAGTAATTATGAGAACATAACAAAGAAACCTAACCTGACCTAAAGCAGAGGAAGTTTTCCCCGAGGAAGAGATGTATAAACCAACTAAATGATGAGAGATGATAGAAAAACCATGAGAAAGAGGGAGAGTTGTGTGAGGGGTTAAGGTATGTTGTAGGCTCAGGGAATTATTTGTTCAACAGCCAAAGGTAAATGTGAGAATGGCTCATAGAAGGGGCTGAAAGGAGTTCAAATGTTTGGAGCACAAAGTAGGAGAAAGAAAGTGACAAAAGATAAGACAAAAGATATGGCAAGTTCATAGCATTAAAGGCCTTGTAAGCCATTTTATGCAGTGCTCAGTAACAGATTATGGAAGCAGAATCTAGGTGATTGCAATGGACATGTAGACAGATTGAGACATGCTTAGGAGGCAGAGTTAAGAAACTGGTGGTGAACTATATGTGGGAAGAGAAGGAGAATGAGGATCGAATGGTCTTTGGGCATGTGGTGAAGAGTGACAGCATTTGCTGAGACAGGGAACACTACAGAAGAGGCAGTTTTGATGAAGGGGAGGAGTTGTTGAGGTGGATGATGCCATGAGACAACTAAGTAGCGATGTCTAGTAAGCAACTTGTTTATATGGGTCTAGAGCTCTGATAACAGGTCTAAGTTTGGGCTCAAGCTCTGAGAATCATCATGGAGACATCAATTGTAAACCTACAATGAGCACCACATGTGGATGAAGCAGAGGGGAAAATATCAACAGTTCAGGGGTGGATGGAGGGAAAGGAGCCTTCAAAGGGCAAGGAAGGAGCAGTCAGAGGAACAGAAGACCAACTAGAAGACCACACGGCAAAGGAGGGGGCAGCGGAAGAGCTTTGTGAAGAACTTCATGGTCAGCAATGCAATATACTGGGGGTAGGTCAATAACAATGAGGGGAAGAAAAATCCAATAAAAAATTAATGCAGAAAGTCCCTCAAGAGCGGGATTTAACAGGAATCCTGCAAGTTGTATAATATACAGATGGGCCGTTTGGAAAACTTCAGATTATGATTCCGACCGTATGATGTACGCGCTCGTTAAAATAACTCCTTTGATGTTACCCCCTTATCCTTTTCATCTGCTATTTTTCCATCCCTTTTTTAATGACAAGTCTGGGAAACTCTGTCCGGAAGGCTCAGAGCCTTTCCTTTGCTTGTGCCCCAAGGGCTCACCCCAAGACCATGGGGGAGTGTCTGTCATACCTGGGGCCCCCTGCCACAGGAATCTGGGCCCCAGCTTATCATCCACAGACCTTGGCTTCGTGGCCACCATGACCCTCATTAAAGAAGGCAGAACCAAGCCCTAAGATGGACCAAAAAGAAACATATCAACCTCTGAGCTGTATGTTCCTTTTCTT